CCATGAAGTCATAAAACACTTGACGTCCATTGAGGACTTTCACTCCACATTGAGATGGAAATAATAAAGTGACGTAAATCCTAAAGCGCCTCATGTTCCCATTTCTACTCTAGTTTTGTGTTGTTTTTTGTCTTTTCCTTTTTAAATGAAAATGATGACAAATTACAGTAAAATCATAAATGTTAATATTGCTCTGTCTCTTTCCATTTCCACTTTTCAAAACTTCCTCCGTAGTAAATAACAGAATATTCCTCCACAGTGAGCTGCTGCATTGACAATGACTAATCATTGAACACAGTGAAATGATTAGAGATGAGATTTGATTTTGAGAAAGAAACCATGTTTTAAAATTGACTGATGCAATGGAGTGAACTGAAAACACATCAATCCCTCGGTGAGGACTTCGACTTGAAGGTTTTCCGAAACATTAAGACTTCCTGTTGCGTTCATGATCACTCATGTGTTCTTCAATAAATCAGCTGTGACCCTTCTTACATTTTTCATTTTTTCCCCAGAGGGACCAAAAGGGCCCTCAGCCCGATAGTTGTTCATGTGTTGCTGTGATTAATTGATGAGGCGTCTTGAATGAACGACCAAGGAGCCGCTGACTTTCTCACCGCAAGATAAAAAAAACAACAACAGTAGTCTTTTTGTTTCACAGAAAGTTTTTTTTGTTTGTTTGTTTTGTTTTTATTGAATAATTAGAATTTCTTTCAATGAAAATCAAACGTCCAGTAGACATTTCGCTGGACAAAGGAAGACTTCTACAGAGGTCAAAGTTTTTTTTTCTCCTTTTTTTTTTCCTCTCATTCCTCCATTTAAAAGAAAAAGAAATAAAATTAAACGGTTTAATTATGAGCTTCTGTGCAGAAAATAGAGAGCTGAAAATAAAAACGCTTCTGACAAGAATATCGATTTTTAACTTACAGGTGTGATTTCATTTTAATACTCTGGTAAAAACAGATAAATATTTATTGCTGCTTCTTCTATCAAAAAAGAACCTTATATAAAAATAAGCAGGCTTAATCTGCCTGACATTAACATTATTTTGTTAAATCTTTATGTCTCATTTAAACCTTTATGTCTGCTTCCTCTTTAAGGGCTCGTGGGAACAATATTAAAGCTGAAACAACTTTTCAAGAACAAAACAAAAGGAAATTGATCTCGTGAAGAAGTTGTTGACTCTTCACTTTTATTACCTCTACAATTTAATAATCAGGTGCAGAAATATGATACTTTAGTTTACACGACCTTCCCAGAAGGTAATGAGCATAATAAATAGTAAAAGTGGGGGTGGAGGGTTGCTAATCAAACAACAACAAAAAATATTTGTACAGCAGGGAAAATAAGTGGTGAACAATTTCAGGTTCTGACAGATGTTGGCAACAACCAGAATATCCAGAAAAATCTAAATTTCAGAGTCAATAAATGATATGTTACAAAGTGAAATGACACAGGAAACAGTATGGTTTCCTGTACCATTTAACACGGTACAGGAAATTAATTGAAAACTCGACAGAAACGCTGTTAATAATAACTATGGTCTGAGTTATGTGCTTTGCTCAGCTTTGAGTTTTGACCCTTTCTTATCATATACCGCCGTTAGATTTTCACATTTTTCCATAGATTTCCATTGATCGGTTGATTGACTGGGACGTTCTAGCAGCATTATTGTCAGGCACAGAGATCCCCCTCGGCTGTGTGTTTGGTACCATCGCCTTGCTGAATTCATCTTCGGGTTTTTATCAAGAACATCTCGGCACATTTCTCCACATTGGACGTTTCTTCTTCAGCAGTGGAGCCTGTTTTCATAATTCTTTTCCTTCCTCTGCCAAAAATCGTGGAAAGTGCCTGGTCATAACCACTCTGATGAAAATGTGTTCAATTCTAGATGTTGACACCAATGATGTGTGCGATACTGGACATATCGCAAGTTTAGAAACGCAACCGTTTCCTTACTCATCAGGACGTGACGAGAAACCTTCTTGTTGGCCATCTATAAGTCTCAACTTCCTGTCCCTTTATTTGCTGCTTTCATTCATTCATAGCTTCGCTTTATGCAACATTATTACTTCATATATGGACGTATTTGTTGTCATGATTTCCTAATTATAGACTGTACAGGTTGTTACCAACATCTGCTCTGAATCTCAAGTTAACATGTCGATTCTTGTCCTGCAAAATGAATTCAATACTTATTTGCGCCCAACTGTACATTTTTCTGTTCTTTAACAAATTACTAAGAAATATGATCAACAGACATACCATTTAAATGACTGTTAAGAAAATATTAGTGATTGTGACCAAACATTATATGGTTCTTCTTCTGCTTTCATATTTCACCACATTCCGTTATCTCTCTTCTGTAGATGTGTGTGAACATGAACAAAAATCAGTTCAAGCGAGATTTTATTCTTGTTCTTATCATTATTATTATTAGTGATAAATTCTGATGAAGCATCCAGTGTGGGATCTATTACACTTCCTATTGTCTGTGGTGGGGAGAGACAATGTTGCTTTAAACTAGACTTTTTCTTGTTTTTCTGTAAACAACTGTCAGCCTAAATCTTTTTTTTTTTTTTGATGGTTGCTGTGGGAACAATCAGTTTTTAACTTAATTATAAGCAACACTTTGTTACTTTGGTATCAAATATATACAAAAACTAATAGTGATACAGGTACAGTTGAAATGAAAAAAAGAAACAACAAAAAAAGACCATTTCCATGATATCCTTCAAAAACTTCTTTGGATTTATAAGCTCCACTAAGAGGAAATCGTAACACATTTGATTAAATTGGATGAAAAATGATGTGCTTCAGTGTTTATTGCTTCTATTTATGCCTCTCTATGCTGACTCGGCTCTTTTTGTCTTAGCTAAATATCTGTCTACAGCGTGACTTTAACCAATCAGATGATGTTAGTCATTTGCTGCCTTCTTGTTCACAATCCTGTTTTCTAACGTCTCTCATTCTATTAACAGCCATGGCGTTTCCTCCTCTTAACGAATCAAAACACATTAACTGCACGTTAATATGCTCTGCTCATCACAACTGATGCAAACCGAATCATTTTTGTGGACAGATATTTTCCACTTCCAGCTTATCTTCACCTTTGAATTTCCCTTTTTCGTCATAAAGAAACGTCTACTCATGGAGACCGATTTCACACCATTTTTCATTTCCTACAGCGGATATTGATTAAAGCAATGTCATCACACAATTGTTCAACATACAGATTAGATTAGATGTTTGTCCCCTGATTTGGGTAATATGCATAGATTCATTTTAAACAGAAAAACCCCCAACCCAGACGAAGTGTCAGCCATCTGTATCAGTTTGGATTACGTGGATTGCAATTGTTTCTACAAACTGGGGTCGTGTGGATTATTTGCGAGCAGTAAATGTTTTACCTGAAAATAACTGGAGATGTTCGCACAGAAGATACAAGCTAACAGCTTCTTAGTGCAGGACCAGTTTCAGAGTAGTTAGCTGGGATCTGACGCAACATAAGCTTAAAATATTCTTTGTGTTTTGAGGGAATGCTACAGTTTGTATTTTTATGTCAAAACAAATTCACATGATGCATTACAATTGATTCTACTTTGTCTGTTTTCTCAATCGATCGTCTTCTGTGTCATGACTTGATAAAACCTGTACATTTTGAAGACAGCTGGAAATGTTTTTGTTTTTTTAATTGAGTGTTAGAATAGAAAAATTATTACTCACAAACATTTTCCTGATCAAATTTGTCTGAACTTTTACTTCAGTTTTAGTTGTAAAAAAAATTTGGTTCTTCAGACTGAGGAGTTTGAAGGAAATTTGCCTGAGCTAAATGATAGAGATCAGATGAAGAATGTTTTTATCAGCACATGGTCTTCTCTGGATATATAAAAAAAATCTCATGCTAAAATTATAAACTCTCAAAATACTTTATATAGCATTTGGATATTGAATTTGAGTTGTTTTAGATGGTTGATTTGGCCATGAGATCTCTGACTGAAGTTCAGACACTGAGATTCCTGCTAAGATACTGATGTCTTGCAACTGCTCCACACGCTGGGCATGAGGAACTTGTTTGCATTTAAACAAAAATGCAAACTATTGCTTAAGTTTCATATGGAATATATTTGAGTTTATGGGTTCCAGCCAAAACAATTAGACCTTGTTGGTTACATGCTATACACAAGTATGTTGGCAGTTCCTTTAGTTTGTTGTTCTTCGTCAGGTTACAAAGAACAGCTTTTCATGGGTGACTTTCATCAGGATAAACCTGGATTATTGCCGCATGTCCTTAAAGCATGTGAATGTTACTTTTCATCACTTTTGCGTTTGTGGTTTTTATGTTAAAACCATGACATGAATGACTCGTCTGAATTCATCATAAGTGCTGTTGTAAGTCATAAAGTGTTTGTGCTGCTTCATTTCAGTTGATCGTTACATTCTTCGTCAAACTAAAAGCACATTTAATGTTTCCTGCTCTCCGGTAAAAAATGAGACTTTTGTGCCAGAATATAAAACAAAGCTACGAAATGATGTTGTACTTTTGTGTCTGAATTCTTAATGTCTTCCTTTATGCTTTGTCCAGCAAATTACTGCTGAAGAGAAGATCGAGAACATCACGACAGGTGGCCAAGAACACGTTCTACTTTTAAAGGTGCTTTTGAATCTGGTACTGCACACAAAACGGCTTATTTAGGAAATTTATTTACACCTAAGATGTATCATAAGGTCCTGCCGAAAAACATAGCATCCTTAACTCAAAATGACCGCATGAAAAAACATTCAAGTTTTGGTGAAGGAAGGAGGTCTATCTTTTCCTTAATTGCAGACATTATTTACCGTCGCCATCTACACACATTTCCAAAAAAAGTCCCTTTTTAAGGGTTTTGTATTAGTTTTCAATTCTCTTACCATTCTTAGCTCTACCTATGGCACTTTGCATTGTTCTGCATTATTATTCCATGGATAAAGTTAAAGGAATCCGATGCTTGGTCAATGAGCTTTCGTCAAATTTCCGACTCTCTACGATATGATCTTTGATCCAACGACCTGGTGGCCTGTAAACGTTCAAACTCATGTCGGCTGTTCCTGTCCGGACTCAGATTTGCCAGTGCTCTGCTCCCGCCGCCCAAGTCGTCCTCCTCCTCGTCGCGGTTTAGGAAGGCCAGCTCGTTTTCATAGCAGAAGGTGTTGGAGCTGGGCATGAGGAATTTGTTCTCCACCATGTCCTTGGCACTGCAGCGAGGGGTGGACGGCACCTCGTACGTTTTGTGAAAGTGTGAATAATCCACCTTGTACAGGTTTTTTTCCTCAAACAGGACAGGTTCAAACCTGTGGCCCCAAAGAACCTCAGAGGCTAGGTAGGAGCTGCGAGCCTGCGTGGTCATGGCGGTCGCTTCGACCATTCCCTCTAGGATGACGACAATCTCAAAGTCTGCCGTCTCCAGGTCCTGCTTGCTGATTCCAAACAGAGGGCTCTCCTCATCTATCTCATGGAGAATAGTGATGGGTGAAACCAAGAAGATCCTGTCCAAACCTTTGTCAAACCCTACATTAATGTCTATCTGGTCTAGCGGAATATACTCCCCCTCATCGGTTATCCGAGGTTTGATGAGCTGTGCTCTGACATGGGCTTCTACAATGTGACTCTTGCGAAGGTTTCCCACTCTCCACATGAGACACAGCTTTCCATCCCGCATGGCAATGACCGCGTTGTGGCTAAACAGGAGCGTTTGCGCTCGCTTCTTAGGCCTCGCCATTTTTGCCATGATGGCGCCTATCATGAAGCAGTCAATGATGCAGCCTACTATTGACTGGAAGACGACCATGAAGACGGCCACTGGGCACTCCTCGGTCACGCAGCGGTAGCCATACCCTATGGTCGACTGTGTTTCAATGGAGAACAGAAACGCGGCCACAAATCCGTTGACCTGCAGCACGCAGGGAGTGAAGTTGTCGTCTCCAGCTGGGTTGTCTAGATCCCCGTGGAGCAAAGCAATGACCCAAAAGGCCAACCCAAAGGCCAGCCAGGATAAAACAAACACAAGAGTGAAGACTATCAGCATCCATCGCCAGCGGATGTCGACGCACGTGGTGAAGATGTCGGCCATGTAGCGCTGTGACTTGTCGTCCATGTTGGCAAACTGCACGTTGCACTGGCCATTCTTTTTCACAAAGCGGTTGCGGCATTTGCGGCGTGTGTGGATCTTGCCATTCCCAAAGCCGTTCATGCCATGCATGGTAGTGAGGCGGAGGCCCTCTTCCTCTGACGAAACAATGCTGTAGCGGTTGATTCTTCCCACACTCATGCTCCTTGACGTCGTCTCCAGCTGCAGGGCTTTTGTCAGATGGGCAGGCCTGGAGTCCAAATGTGTGATCAAGGCCCCTTGCAGCTCGATCACTGGCCAAGCTGCATTTTAGTGAGTCATTTAGGGGGCAGAGCGGGAGCTCAGTGCATGAATCCAGTTCCTGTAGAGAGCGTCAGGAGAGAGTAGTGTGAGTTACATGATGGTCAGGTCATGTAAAACAGCACACCTGTTGGCACATAAAAACACTACGTTTTTATTTTTTTTAAATTACAGAACCACTTATTTGCAAATAAGAGTTTTCTGCAGGGCATTGGCAACTGTGCTTGTTTTCAATATCTTAATTTTTTTTTTTGAAAGATGTAATATCCATGAAATATTTTTTTAGCTCTATTTACTAACTACATGTATGTATGGATGGAAACATAACTATTTATAGATTTTTTTTTGGGCTGGTTAATCCAGGAGGAAACAGGAATGAAGCTCTAATGAGAAAAATTACACATCTAGTAGGAAGTGTTTGTCTATAATTCCCAGTTCAGGGTCTACAGTGTTAGAGCTCATCCAGTTACTGTGGTTACCATCCTCTTTTTCTCCTGCCCTCTTTAATCATCATGACATTAAATCCAATTAATGCTCCCAGAAGAGTCTTCCTGCCTTTTGATGTGAGCTAAACAAGAGCAGGGCTGGCCTCACACGGTCGCCACTTATGTCAAATTACCTTTCCTGTGTTTTTCTTTAGAATGATTAAGAAAGTTAGAAGTGACAGCTAATCAAAGGGATAATTCAGGATTTTATAAATTATGTTCTGCGTGAGGCTTATAAATCGGTTAGTATCTCTTGGATCCAGATTAGTTGGAAGGTGGGGGCTGAAACCACGACAAACTAAGAACAAAGCGAGCGTCTACCGTTTAAAGACAACTTCAAGCTCCAAACTTTAAAACGGTTTATGAGGAAACTATTTCATAAACCTTGAGAACTTAATCAAGTGGTGATTTTCGCAGAAGCCAAAGATCATGGATACTGGAAATAGAGGTGACGTTGCACCACAACTGATCTGCCCAAAATATTTCCATCCACTAGTGACCTAAGACTTTGTTGCTGTACTTAAGTAGCTTATTCAAGAATCCATGCTGTACTTAAGTATTTATTCTTCTGATGATGTTTTACTGCCTTCAATTGAACACAAATAACTGTCCTCCCTACTCACTACATTCTCCTAACTGGCTTGTTACTTCGACGTTTATCGATGACGACAAAGTTGTGAGAAAACAGGGAAAACGAGTTGGGCAAACAGATTCAGATTACAAGGCATTGCCTTGTAATTGGACTGACTTTTTGGTCCGCAAGAAAGAAGTCTTTTTTGTTGTCGTTTGGTTTTGTTTTTTTTCTCAAGTCAAACATAATAATAATAAAAACACACTTTTAGGTAAACATATTTTTAAGAGAGGTTGTGAGCAAACAAGGACAACTTTTTGTTTTGTAGATTTATGAGGAATTGTTTTGTGTGAAGGTGAAAGTTATGCTTTTTATATTTAACTTTTCTGCTATCATTTAAAACTTGTACTTTATTTTACTTTCACGTAAGGAAAGAATTTTACTTCAGTTCTTTTACTGAAGTAAAGAATGTGAATACTTCTGTCAATTCTCCCTGAAGGAAAGGAAAGGCAGTGAAAAAATGAAAGTAGAGGATTTGCTGAACTGACATATTATATAAAGCAATATTTTTGCTTTACACTAGAAAATCACCAGTGGCCCACAGCCTGCAACCTCTATTTTCTGTTCTATTTACCAACCAGGGAAAATGGGACAGCAGTTGAAAGGTTCATAAAATAGTGTTAGCATTATGATATTTTAGGATTGGATTGGATTACAAGGCAGGAGAGCAGAAGGTCAATTGAAGTTTGTTCTTTCTCAGACTAACCATTAGCTCCAAGCCATTATGTTCAAACAACAAAATAGCTGTCCACTGCAGATATAATAAAGAGATTTTAATAGTGGTGGAAAGCCAATAGATGGGCAGTAGGAAGCTAAGCGATAGTCTCTTGTGGAAGTGCAGATATTTAATATCCATAAACGTTTTCCCTTTGAGAGGTTTTGAATTGCCAACGTCAGCTGAAACGATTAGCTAGGCAAGCTAGCTGTTAGCATGTTGCCACACATGGCAAAAATGCTAACAGTTTCGCTGTTTCATAAACTCACTGTAATAGAACATTTGGCTCCAACAAGTGAAAATAACTTCACAGAACCTCATATCAGAAAGTCGAAATGATCAATGTAAGTCAATACAAAATGCCATGATGACAGTGGGACTGTACGGTTGTGTAATTGTCATACGTAATGTATGCTCATCAACAATATTATGCATGGATATCTTGGCTGTATTCAGGGTCTTTCAGCAACATGCTGTGCATTCGTCACACATCTAACAGACAAAGTGTGCTCTCGTTTGTTCTCCTGTGGCCTAAGTTCGCCATTGTCCTCCGTTTACAATATTTATACTATGGGAGAACTGGAGGGGGGGAGGTTGTGTGTACTGGAACTCCTGTGGGAGTTGTGTGTCTGCCACTGATTCATTGGTCACGCAATTCCAGATGCTGCAGAGATGCAGACCGAAGGACTCTATTTATTTGACCTCATTCTGTAAAATTTGCAGTGTTATTAATCATGCAGTGAGAATGCACTGAAATAGTGTCCCCTTCCCTTGGTGCTTCCTACAAGAGTGAAGCAGATTTCTCACCAGTATCCTGGCCTTTACTATCTGTAATTAAACAAATTGCAGAAATATATACTGTGTGTGAAATGTGTATATCAAACATTACTTTAGAGAAGTTTGACTTTGTAAGTTAACTCCTTGAAATTGGGTCTTTATTTCTTTAAGAAACTCCTGCTCTTTCTGAAACTCTGCCTTTAGAAAGTCATCACAACATGGCTCCGCTATAAACCCTTTAACAATGTTATTACCAGCAAAAAACTGAAAAACAGCTCCTATGATGAGATATTATGGCTGCTAATTGCTTGTGGCTAGTCTGAAGGAGCTGAGTGGGTGGGGTGGGGTCGCTGGTGAGGGTAGAAACGTGGAAACTGCATCCTTCAAAGCGGCACTAGGTCCACCCTGGCATTTTGCACAGCTGAATGGTTGCCATGGGAGATTATAGGATTTCTCAAACATGCATGAAAGAATCAAAGCAACACTCCAGGTCTGTTTTTGATGAGAGAATCACATCATAACATGATGTAAAGCTCAAAAAAGTTTACTTTACATAATACTGTCCCTTTAAGGGAATGAATACTTTTGAAAGGCACTGGTTGTCCCAAAGAGTCTGGACAAAAAATGAGCAGCGGGGATGATTTTGGGACGTCTCTTATATCATTGCCTGTCAGGCACGAGATGACCTTACCAAAGCGCTGAGTGTTGAGCCCTGGGGTCAAGATGTTTACCTCCTGGGAGGTAGTCTGAAGTCCCCCTGGGCACAGACAGCCCTCATTGTTTTGCATCATCCGTTCTGTGTGTCTGCCTGTCTGATTTGGACCCCAAAGACCCAACAGTTCACTCATGTGCGCTTCCAAATCCCGAGTGCCTTGCCGTCTGCCATGCACACTGCAGCCCCGCTGCTTTACGTGTGCACTCCCTCACATGGAAGCTCTGCTGATCTGCGGCCGGATCTCCACGTTCCGTCCCTCAGGGTCAAACCCAGGAAAACGTACTGTAGCCAACGCCGCTATTTTTATATTTTTGACGACATTGCTCATCAAAGCGACAGCTGTCGGTGCTAAAAATAGGGTTCGTTATGCTCAATTCATTACATTCTGAAACACACGTCGGACCTTTTTTTTTTTTTTTCTCCTCACACAAGTGGAACTGGGGAGGTTTGTATTTTACAGACAACTTCACTGACTCTGTTATGTAACTGAAACTAATCAAGAACTCCAGCATTGTCGTGGCATGTTGCACCAAAGCAGGCCTGACCTGAGCGGCCCGTACAGCGCAGAGCCTCCACAGCCTCCCGCAGCCATGCAGTGTCAGGTGTCTAACTGGTTTGTTAAATGAAAGTCAAAACTCCTCCTGAGCCCTCAGAGTCATTGGATAAGAGCCTGAAAATCCTAAACTGTACAGTGTAGACCACATTGTGCCTCAACACTCAGTGCCACTCCGGGTAAAAACGTCCACAAAGCCCAAAGATGATCTGTTTTTTTGAAACAAAAGTCCTTGCTTTCTTCAGATTAACTTTCTCACTACAGATGGCGGCTAAATAATCTCTTCTGCTTCCTTAACTTTGTCACAGTTCTGGATGTTCTGAACGTTTGAATTGTTGCTCTGACTGTAAATACAAGGAGACAAATAGATTTTTTTTCAGGTGAACATTTCCTGACTGTTGAAGATCAACGAGGATCTGGCTTGCATGAATGTTATAAGCTGTTGTCTTTCCCATTTTGAATAGTGGCTAAGAGATAACATTGCTAATGTAAAGTTGCGAGCCACTCAGATCTACTTAGAACGGTAAAGTACTGATTCCCGTCCACATGAAACCGTTTCGGACCATTGAGGTCCCAGATGACTGAAAATGTACAAAAATGCTTCAGTTGCACTGACTTCAATTAATGAGATGATATGGCGCTGAAATAAAAGACACTTTTTGTATCTTTTTGAACCAATAGCAGTTTTCAACTCATAAGAAGATCAGAAATGCAACCTAAGAAATATGAACACCAAAATAGGAACTGAAAACTGAAATAATAAACCATAATCATCAGCCGTCTTATTGACAAGGCACATTGGTGAATCAAAAGATAAAAAACGCCTTTTTGAGGTCAATGACTTGATGATTCAGTTTAAATTAAATAAACTTACAGCTTCACAGTTTGTGTTCACAATGTTGCAATCAAATGAACGATAAAAAAAAATTAAACAAATAATAATAGACTGATGTTTTATGTGTATGAAGTGCAGAGATGAACTGATCAGACTTGCAGTTGTTGCTGCTTGGTTTTGAGTTTTGACCTTCAGATTTTGATCCCCCCCGAAAAAACCTTTAGGTTCTTTGATAGAGATCACTGCTTTGATTCTCACAGAATCTAACAGCATTTATGTACCGACCCTGAATAAAAAATAAAAATGAAAATAGTGCATGCTGGTTCAAACAAAAAGGGAGTTCTTGATTTTAATGAATTTACTGTAAACAAAATAAACACTTTTTTCACTCATCTGGACCAATCAGAGGGATGTCTCAAATTCCAAAAGTATTCACACCCCTTGAACTTTTTCATCTATATTTTGTCACGTTACCACCGCAAACGTAAATATATTTCATAGGACATTAATGTGAGAGACCAACACAAAGTGGTGTACAACGGTAAAAGAGAAAGAAAATAATACCAGTCCATTTTTCTTTTTTAAACCGACAAAAAAACTGAAAAGTGCGGTGTGCAACAAGTTGCCTCCAGAGGTTGCCTGATGGCTGCGGGTAGAGTCCATCTGTGTAATCTAATCTCGGCAGTCCATAGTCGTGTCAGAGAGAGTGATCTTAAATTTCTTCCAGAACTTTTGTCCGATATTTTCTCTTCATGGAATTTAAAAGAGGAGACCAACAGAACGCTGATAAATAACTTGATGCAATAGAAACAAGTGGGAGGGAGTGGAGAGAACAACGAAGTCTGCTGGGAGAAGGGAGTCCATCTCAAGTAAGACGCACAGAAAACTGAGCTGCTGAGGATCCGCCTTATCCCCCTTTATCCCCCAGAGACCTTTGTGAAGAAAACTCAGAGGCTCAGGTGTCACTTTATTTTCCTATAGCTTACCATGTGGAACTCAGCTGGTCTCAAGTGACCTAAAAGCACTTCCTCATAATAGGTAACGTAGCATCTTAAGACTGGAGAAATGCCGTCTGAATGCGCTAAGATTCAATGAAATAATCATTGAATCCATTATTCCAATTCTATAACTGCAGCTCACAAACAATGAAATCCAACAGATTTTGGATGGTGACTGACCCTGCAGGCTCCCGTATCTAGGCCACTTCCTGTGCATTATTCAGGCTGCTCTTTAAAAAAAAAAAAGACATGCTAACTTACAGCAAAGTGCCGAAACTCCACAGAACCGATCCCCCCGCTTCACTGTTTTAATAAACGACTCGACTTGGCGCAGGTCTGACGTTTCCACCTGCAGCCGCTCCACTGCACAAACACCTGACGGTTCCCTCATCACAGCTTCTTCCCTGGGCCGTGCTGCGCTGTAGTGGTGCAGCTCGTTTTATTATTTGTACAACTTCACAAAGCCCGATTCACCCACATCACACCTTCGCTCTGTAATTTTCTAATTTTAAACAACACTGGTTAGTTAGAGCACACACACACACACACACACACACACACACACACGCGCGCACACACACACACACACACACACACACACACACGCACACACGCACACACACACACACACACACACACACACACACACACACACACACACACACACACACACACACACACACACACACACACACGCTAAAGCCTGTTACCTAACACACCACAGCCACGATGAGTCTTAAAAAACACAAAAACAAAACAAAACAAAAAAGATTTGAAGCTTTTTCTCCTTTTGGTAAATGACATATCAATGCTGTTTTGTCCAGGTGAGCAGGTGAATGAAATCGAAATAGTCTTAAGAAGACATGACCTGCAGTTCTGCATTACATAACCTCCATCCTGCCTTTTTGTTGTCTTTTTTTTTTTGCACCTGCACATCCCTGATTGTTTCAAGCCAGAGCAGCACCTGAAGCAACACGTTCATCCAGTAACGCGTCTGCTTTCTGTTCTCTGATTCTTGTGCTGAACTGCTTCCTCATTGAATGTAAAACTACTGATTCAGACTTTATAGTTTGTTCACACTGACAGGATTCATGACTGTTTCTCACATTTGAGCCATTTTTTACATATATTTTAACATTTTATTACATTTCTTCAAAACCTAATTGGAGATTTGCATCGTATTTGACCAAATTTGATGTCAATATTCTGAGCATGGAAAGTTCACCTGATACTACAGCTGCTGCCACTATTAATTAGACCAGTCATAATCATGATATAAGTAGCCTATTTTGTTTATTAGAGTAGCCATCTTGTTTTAGGTTGTTTCTGTTGCAGCTCATTTTTTTTGTTTTAATTCTTCAACTGCAAGTTATTTTATTTTCATAAATGTGAAAATGGGATTGATTTTATAGGGTTTCTGTTTTAAAATATTGATGATTTTGTGATTAATTAAAATTTTATGAATATTTCAAATTCTGTCTAGATCATAGTTTTCTCTGTGTTTTTATAGTTAAAAAAATGCCATTTGGACATTTTGACAATGTGTTCAAATAGAAAGAAACTCAGAGTATGTATTTGCATAAAGATAATAAATAAATAAAATCTTATATTAAAATGCAGAAATGAGCCCTATTCAATTGTTTAGGTTGCAAACTAATCTGATTTCTGAAGTTGTTTCATTGTTTTTTTTTATTTCTGCCATTTTCATTTCCATCAGGTGTTTTTTTTTTTTTTTTTTTTTTTTTTAAAGTTTTTATCCCCTTGACAAACTGATGGCCGAAATAAATCGATCTAGTTTAGTTTGCTGTCTTGATTTCAACTGACATTTCTGTTTGGGAGCAGATCTTTTTAAAAATATCCAGTGAGACTCCAGTGAGTATTTACTGTGAAACAACTCAGGACATGTTCCACTGGGATGCAGCTCCACTGCTCCAAACAGTGACAGACGTCGATGTGACAGACGGGCTGAAAGTTTGCGGTCAACTTCCTCGTCTTACCTCTTATCCCCACCTGTCTGAGACGGGGGCTCCAGAACTGTGGGGCGCTGCGTCCTCTCCCAGTGCTCCCATTAACCAAACTGAGGCATTCTGCGCGTCTGCAGCTTCTCCTCCTCCTTCTGCTCAAAAACAGAAGAGGGCCGCTCCGTCATCCTCTGCACCTTTGGGTCTCATCATCCTTTTCCAGTGCAGACGAAATGTAGTTGCCACCCTTGAACCTCAGGGCCCCCGCTGCCGCCACTCGCTCTCTGCCTGGACCTGCAAAGTGGGGTGCAAAGCTTTTTAAACAGAGCTATCCAAAAGACAATTCGGGTTTTTGCATCTCCATCCTTGAGGCAATCGTTTCAGCAGGTCCTTCCTACTTTTACTCCTTTACTCTGTCCGTTTTTTTTTAAATCCTAAAAATCAGTCCCCAACTGCTCTCTCTATTACTCTTTAGCTATCTGATCTAGCTGGACGGCTGTTCCCTCTCTCCTCTTCCTCTCTCTCCCTGCTTCGTGTGGCATCACAGCCGCCCTCCTCTTTCTCTCCCACTCCCTCCCTCTATCTTTCTCTCGGTGTCTCTCCCTCCCTCCCTCCCACATCATGGCACTACCAGTTGACAGCAACTTGATGCACAGACTCATCATTCAGAAAACACCATCAGACCATCAGAGCACCATCCGTGTTTCGTGAAAAGTAGGTGAAGCATCCTCGTGAAGAATAGGAGCTTTATGTTGATGCTGCACACAAGAAAGGACGGCTGAGTCACTGCACATCTCATCTAGTGCATGTCTACAGAGCCCTGCAAACGTGGGCTGTGTGTCTGTGCTCTGGTACCTCCAAACAGTCAAGTGCAACAGTTGTCTCTGGAAGTCACTTGATTGTTCAGTTGTTAGAATAATTATCAGTACAACTGTACAGGGCTTTCAAAATGAACAACATTTACTAATTAAAGAACATCTGGACCAAACACCTGGACTGGATTTCTCTCGTGGACTTGTTGTTGGACACTACGGTGTCCAAAATGGTCTACAAAAGCAATAGTTTTTACAGGCCATTTGAGTTGAGGTGACGCATGATAAAATGATTCTTGTGCCTCAGAGAATTTGTGACCCAAATAAAATATGTATGTTTCTTGAAGAATTTGTGTTCACCTCACTTTAGAATCGTCTAATGCAAAAAAAAAACAAAAAAAACAACAAAAGGCTTCGCTATGCTAACTTTGTATTTTCACACAGAACCAATGAGCTTTGTGTTTTTTTTCAGTGCATAATGACCCACAATAAGTGTAAGGTTGTTAAATTTTGATATAGAAACCAAATTACTATTTTTTTTTGCTTCGTGTTAATAGGAAGCTACAAAACAAATCATCTTTAGCATCGTTAGCAGCTAGCCGCTAGCCACTGAGGGTAGTCTCACTGCCGTTAAGAATATCTAGATTTACTGCCTGCTTGTACATTAGGTATTAATTTGCTCCTGTTTCACCAGACAAAGTCATGGTGAGCAGGGCCGGCCCAAGGCAGTAACAAACTAAGCAGCCGCTTGGGGCCCCCAGGCTACTAAGTGGCTTTTAGTAATAATTTCTATGTCATTATAATATCAAAAACACACAATTTCACGACAGAGCGATTCGTTTTTACAAAAAAATATATTTGATAATGTATGTAGAAATTATTATTTTATTGATAAAAAGAAAAAATAAATTGCTCTCGGGGGCCCCTGGTGGCCGCGGTAGGTATCACACGCTTCACCGGTAACGAGCGGCTGTGCAGAGAATCCAAATGTCCAAAGCTCCAGTCAGAAGTTAATTAAGCAAAACAATGTCTCAAAAAAGAACTTATCCTTCAGGAAGGGAGAATAGAAAAAGAGGAAAGAATAGAAAAAAAAGAGGAAGAATAGAAAAAAAGCCAAGATAAAGTTTGTTTTAATGTGTCTTGGTAATGTAAAGTAACTGAAAGGATATGTAAAGCTGCTAATAGAAAATGAGCTTGAATGGTTCAGTTCAACAGGCAGATATTTATGCTAGCGTCTTTATGTTTATGTGAAACTAAGTTAAACTTTAAATGAGTTGATTCTCATGGTTGGGTCTGTATATTTCTGAGGCATTTTTGGCTTCAAAACGCCATTTTTGATAACGTTTGATAACAATAATTGAAACTTCTCAATAATCGATATTGTCTAGCAAAATGCTTTTTTGTCAGGCTACATGGCTGCTACATCGATGAGCTGCTCTATGCTGTAGGTGGGGATATGTTGTTTGATGCTAAGCATCATCATTTTGTGGCTAAAACAATCATTAGTTTTACATCAACTTCTAAGTTATGTGAAACTTCTGTTAAAAACATTTGAAAACTCAGAATCAGTCCAGTACCGGTACCGGTCCACATTGTCAGGGGAGAAAGACTCACCTGGTATAAATGACATTTTTAGCTATTGGAGTAACGCTAAAGAGAAATTTATTTAATCAAAAAATATCATGAATATGTGTGTAGAGGTGCATCAATTGCAGTTTTCTGGCCGATCCCTGGTTACCGATCTTTAAAAACCCTGACCTGCTGATTTTGATTTTGGCTGATATTAATTTCTTTTTGTCTGAAATGTTGTTTTATCACTTCATATGTCTTGAAATAAACTGACATGGACTGCATATAAACATTAAAATAATGTTATTTCACTACCAATAGAAGTTTAAGTTTTAATCGTAAAAAAAAAAAAAAACAGGAAAATTCCACAGGATAGAAACACCTCAGAGTTGTGTATACTGTTAACCTTTTTTAATAGCTCTTTATGTTTTCACTTAAAACATGTATTGTTTACCATGGATTTAATGAACAGAGCTAAACTGAAATAATCTGTAAGACAAGGCAATGTTCAAAGAACATATTTGTGCTGACAGGCTGTTATGACATTTTTTTGCAATTCAGTTCAACTTCCATTTTACACTCTAGATAACCAAAGCTCTGGAGACATGCAGCAACTTCTGCAGCCGGCGAGGTGTTTATGGTTGCGGCCGCATCACAGTTTTGAAAATGCTTTCCTTCAGCACGGACGGTAAAGCTTGTCAGAAGATAAATGAAGCTAAAGAGAAGACGAACCTAAAGGAAAAGCTGGTTTGAGCTACAATGAGAAAACTAGCCTAAATACACATGCATGGCGGAATGGTTTTCATATTAGAATGGTCCAATTAAAGTCTCAATTGAAAAAAAAAAAAAAAACTCAGTCTAAAAATTTGCATCTGTTGAGTCGTGTGACTGAACCTGAGTTATCCAGTTTGTCCTACAGCCTCTTATCCCGCCATTAACCCTGATGGAAAGTTAATGAAGGTTAGTCTGTCGCATCAGTGTGAAAAAAAATGGCCTCGTCTTTGTGGTGGAAGGTGAGATGTCCAGCTGCACAGCTGCAGCGGGACCGGGTCGAGTCTTCATGTGTCTGTTTGGCCTGTTGGCTCGTTACACTAATGGCTAGTGGCTGCTGCTGCGTCTTATTGCAGATTTGTCAACAGCATCTACTCTACCAGGTTTGACCCGGTGATGTGTCTGTGTGTTCATATGTGTCTGACAGTTCCCTCCCTGCTGGGACCCCCCGTGTTTTGATGAATTAGAGTTATTAAAGTGCTGCCAATCGTTCATTAGCTCGCTTTTTTCATGGTGTTTCAGTGCCATTGTAGATGGAAGAAAAGGAGTACATTCTTGTCAAAAAACTCAGACATTTTGAGATGAATTTCTAAATTTTTTTTGGTAAAAAAAAAAAAAAAAAAACTAAGAAAGAAAAAAAAAGAAACAAGAAAAATTTGAAGCTCCAAAAGTCAAAAATTTGTGGATGGATGCCAGAAATGTTCTTGGAAAAAAGTTGGAAAATTCAGAATTTCAAAATTTTGAGAAGTTTTAACCTCTGAAACTAGAACATTTCCACATTTAAAAATTTTGGAGCTCAAACATTTTCATGATTTGTTTTTCTAGAAGATTTCTGAGAACAATCCCAAAAACGTGAATATTGACTCCTTCTGCTTTTTTTTCTGTCTACAACGACCCTAATATTCCACCATACACTTATGCACACTTTTACCTGAAGGAAAACAGACAACTCATCCTAAGCAAGAGGTCTAGTCTTTGCCCACACTAAAAATATTGAGATATACTCCAATACAACAATCCAGCAGTATCTGCCAGAGTCTCTGCTGGTTCTGCTGCTGGAACGGACGGGCCACGGCTCCAAGACGCCGAGACAAAGTGTGACATTATCCTCAGAGGCCCGCTGCTCTCCTCTCACATCGTTCCAGTGTTCCAGTCATCAGTCAAATCCCAAAAAAAGAAGAAAAAAAAGAAATGGAGATGACAATTAGTAAAGAAGAGGGCTGAAAGAGTGAGAAGTTTCTAAATCCAGAAGCGGCCTCAGCTTTATCACTAATGATTCATCAGTGCAGAAACCCTGTGTCTTTTTTCTCCCTCCTCTTTCTCTGCTCCTTTTCTGTCATCCAGGCTCTGATTTCAGAGTTGTGAGAGGTGATTTGCAGTCGCTTGTGTGCGATCATCACCGGGCCATTGTGTTCGGCCGAGGGACGTCGACTAATGGAGCCCCTCTTTTTTTCAGGCGCCTCTTGGTCTGCGTCGGCAACAGGTACCACGCCGGGCCCCGCATAAAGGGAGACCTCAGCTCTGGGAGAACAGCGGCTCACGAGGTTCACACGTTGCATTCAGACTGTAAACCCTTGTTATGTAACGGCAGCATAATCACAGGTGGCTGCTCAGATATCCTTTGCATGTCTGCGTCTAAATGAGGAGGGCTTTGCCTCCCAGGGACGCTGCTAAGTGGGACTTGCTGCTGCTTCCATGGCTACAGCTATAACACATTTTCACTATTTTCAGAACCAATAAGAGCTGGCGGAGATGTCAGAACAAGGGAGGGAGGGGGGGGGGGGGGGAAGATGAAATCCTGGGCTTGTACGCTCTGATTATCACTGCCGAGGATTGTTCTCTCACCAGTCAGGATACTTTTAGCTTTGCCACTTGTTGAATTTCAATTTTTGCATCAATTTATGTTAATCTGACCGCAAAAGCCTGATGACGGGTGCAGCTCAGTTAAAGAATCCGAATATGAGCGATGATGGGAGGGCCAAGAGTCGTCATGGTGAAACGGCGGCCTGCGTTTGTTCTGGGGACTGTGCTCCTGCCGCTTGTTTCAGCAGCAAGGTGTAATTTGCATTAATCAGGAGGGTCCTAAGAATAAACTTTTCATAATCTCTCTGGTGATGGTGACGGTGGCGTTTCATCTTTTTACAATGGCACTCGCCTCGGGGAGACGCTGCATGGGAGCTCTGTTGACTTATTGCGGCTGACAGCTCAATCTCTCTCCATCATAATCAAGAGCTATCAAGGAAAGGGTTTTGCCACACAAAGGAGAACATCCACTGTTCATAGCTTGCGGTGCTAAAAAATGACTTAGTGTTGGAGGGGAAGTATTAGTTCCACTTTGTCA